CCCGGTAACAACAAGACGACGTCGGTGCCTGGCGCCGCGACGACCAAGCCCACATCTGTGTCGTCGTCGACGGGCAGCTCGGCGGGGACGACGACCAAGGCGCCGACGCCCAAGCCCACGTCCAGTGCCGCTGGCCTCACGACAGGTCTCCTGACCGTCGCTGTGGTCGCGGCAGCAGCTATGTAATCACTTTATATACCGGTACTGCCTTTTTACAATAAACGGCTGTCATTGGTCTGAAACTGTCATAATGGATGGTGCAACGTACGTGGCACTCGGACATGCGAGTACGACTTTGTCTAATATCTCGGCATTGCTGCGATAAGATCACCCGACGCACAATTGGAATGTCAAGGATAGCATTACAATCGATTGATGGGATCGTCGCTGATGCTGGTGCATGTCTGGTCTTGCATTCTGAACATTTTTACTGTAGCGCACTGTTGGCACACGGGTCTGTGATTCCACTAAGAAATCCACTCATTCCTCAGTATCTAGTTACGAGGTTAGATGTGTATGCCACAACATACAGGTAGAGCTGAACTCGTGACTCTGCTGCATCACTTTTTAGCAGCCCATCGACACGACCACTAGTTCTACTCACTTCGGCTAACTAGAATCCATAGACTTGCCAGAGACAATGTGCGAATTATTGGCACATTTCTCTCTGGATATTTGATATCCATGAGAATACAGGTGGGGTTCTCTCCGAGTTGCCACAAAGCTAGCTCAACAGAAAACGCTAGAATTCCATGCTCTACACTGTATACTTACTGCACTAGCATGCATGCCAATACTGTACACCTAGGCGACAACACAGTGTATATAGGTATAGAGTGCATTAAACTACGGATAGCAGGTGCGGGATGAGCATCCTGTCCTCTTGTAGATCGGCTGTTTCGTCTCCCGCGGTGGGGCGTGGTGGTGGAAGATGGCGTCGTCGCTCGCGCAATGTCTTTCATATTTCGTTTATCCGACTACCCTACACCGACTCCTACCATGAAGATGATGGCC